CTCATAATAATTATCATAGTCTCATACTCATACTCTCATACTTCCATGTCTCATACTCTCATACTTCCATGTCTCATTCTCTAGGATCCAGTCAGTATGGAAAGGATATAAAGTACGGAAATGGTTTAACAAATACCGTGAGACACACCCTCCCTCTCACCCTTTGCTACGAGCAAAATACTACAAGAAGAAATTTACAAGTTTAACATCAGAGATACTAGAGTGTTAGTTCTACCACAGAACAAGCAAATAACTTATTGATATCTGTTAACGCTGACCTGGAAGAATCAAGAAGAACAATGAGGTATAGGTATAACAAAAATGTATAAAATTATTGCAAACTTCCTCTCTTTCCATCCTTCTCTCTTTCCCCCTCCTTTCCTCTCTCTCTCTCTTTCCTCCTTCTCTTCCTCTCTCTCTCTCCCCTCTCTCTTTCCCCTCCCTCAAGGTCACTTGAACTACAGCTCCTTGATCCAAACTGGGACAGTGCCACTATGAAGGTTGGATTCTGTATAATCCATCTTTACCTTCTCTCTCTCTCTCTTCCTGTCTTCAGGCATCACAATACACAACTACAGACTGTGTCATCTGTCTTGCTCCCCTCTCTCTCCCTCGTCCCCTAACTGTCCTCTCTTGCTCCCACCTCTTCCATACAACCTGTATCACCTCACTAGAATCATTCACCAGCGACTACACCCTTCACTCTTGCCCCATATGTAGATCACCATATCTCAGCAGGGCTTACACTACTAGTAGTAATGATGATTAACTTGAAACAGCAACTAAACAGTATTGGCTCGAACAACATAAACAATAATAATATATCATGTGGTTGTTGTTGTTATTGGATTAATAATTACACAGGAAACAGTGCCATTGGTATAATACAGGGCACAATCCTGTATGGACGTACTGTAGTGGAGAGTACACTACGACTAGCCAGCAAGGAAATAGTGAGGGGATGTATCCAACTGCACTTGTATCAGGATATGAAAAAATGACAAAAATGAGGCATAGAATCATCACTCATTATTCCAGGAACAGCAATATAAACGGGATTACTGTATGAAGAGCTAAGAATTTCACTCGTATAGTTTACTAACAAATTACTAACAAATTACTATCAACTAGGACACATTGTAAAGAGATTATGATAGTGATATGACACAGCATGACTTGTTAGTATAGTCTCTTATAAACATAATGAATAAAGATGAGAGCTAAAGGTTTTCCAAGTATCGTGTATCCATTCATTATAAAAGCATTTACAGACATTATACTGCTTTATACAGCATGAATCTGCCATTAGCCTAAGACAGTTTTTGGCACATATAGATGTAGACACTAGAGTTGCTTCATATGTTGGAAAGTACATGTAGATGTATTACAATCCTCAGTATTTAACTCAACAATAAACATAACATAGGGCTCACGTGTATTACACCAGGTAATGGACACACTCACCCATCCAAAAATTGTTTGCACTGATTGTAGTTTCAGTTATATTGGTGAAGCATGTGGTGTCACAAAGTGATTTATAAAGGCATAAAACTTTACCAGGCAATTGTGGGTTACACCACATTGCACTTTAATGATATTCATTAGTAGGGGAAGTAGATTACTGGTGCGCTGCTTCAATACAGTTCATCTGATTATTATAGCAAATTAAGCAATTTCCTAAGAACATTAGAACAAGCATCATTTATTGTTATACTCCTGAGCAAGGCAACTTAAAACAGCAAATATACAAACTGCATGTCCTTATCATACACTATACAGTCCATTTATGTTATATTATAATAATGATTATACAGACAGAGACATAGACATAACTTCTCTCTTTATTTAAACTGTTCAATATCAGACCATTACTGAAAAAGTAAACATAGCTAAAGCTAATAATAATAATAATAATAATAATAATAATAATAATAATAATAATAATAATAATGTTGTTTTTACTCTCTACTAACAAATCAAAAAGAGGGAGGAGGGTGTGTGTAATTATTTTGTGGTGTCAGATAAAATAAAGTTTGTACAACAAGTTCAGTCCAAAGGCTAACATTTCCAGGAGAATGAAATAATATCAGTTCATTTCTTCTTCTTCTCCTATTAAAAATGAAAAAGTTAACCTTTACTTCTGAATGGTTAAAATAAAAAATTCAATAAAAATGCTAATCATTCATAATGTATATGTATTTACAAGGTCATAGGGTAAAGTGCATCTAATCAAATGATGTGAGATTATGCTTTTAATGTAAGTGACATTAAGTGTGTGTAGTTTATAAGTATAACATTAATGGAGTTACATGTGTTGTACCTTTGAAGCAAGAATGATAAGAATCCTCTTAAATATGGCAATGAAGTCAATAAAGAGATCAAGCGAGTGCCAGATATAGTCGTGATCACCATGATTGTACTTCTCGACTATCAGTTGGGTATCGAATATAACAAAACCACAAAATATCATTAGACCAAGATACAACTGGATCTGATGAGAGAGAGAAGGGAAGGGAGAGGGAAGATAAGGGGAAATGGAAGGAAAAGGGAAAAGGTTAATAATGAAGAAGAATAGAGAGATAGGGAGAGAGAGAAAGAGGAGTTATGAAAGGAAATGTATGTTAAAGTACAAAGAGATATGAGTTAGTGTGTGTGTGTGTGTGTGCGAGTACTTGGAATCCGAAAGAGAATCCAAACAAAAGAGAGAAGAAAGAGAGCAGGATCAAAAGTGAAAGTCCAGACAACAAAGGACCTAAAAGAATCAACCAAAAACAAATCACAATAAAGCATTTGACAAAAATTAATATTTAATAATAATCCCCTTTTGAATTAACACTAGAAAAGTACATGTACATGAAGTTACCTATAGGCTATAGCTAATGTATTTTGGAGGGGAAAATTTGGTGTTTTAATAGTCACAAAACTGCAAAATTAAAACCTGCCAATTACCAAAACTTACTAAAATTCACCCATACTCTTACTCCCGGCTATACTAGTACATGTATTGCCTTATATGGTAGGTGCCATGTAGTACTTACCAGCCAGAAACAGGAAGGACCTTCGCTCGGATATCAAAGCAGTCAGTGAGAGAGTCACAAAAATAACACAAGTACTGAGAAAGGCAGTCGGGACAATGCTATTAATGAGATAATGAGATGGGTGAGGAGAGGAGTGACCACACCCACTTACCTTGGTTCTATATCAATGACGGCTTCAAGAAGAGGTCCCATGCTGGTACCAGAGAAGAAGGCAAAACCACAAAGAAGACCTGATCATGTAAATGTACATAAAAGTACGTCTACATGTACATAAAAGTACATGTACATGTACATAAAAGTACATGTACATTTGCTGTCTACATGTACATGTAAATCAGGGTTTATAAAACTCCGCAAATCCCTGTACTATAGTATAGGGTTTTTAGCTAAATTTCGGCAAAAATGAAAAGTATAGAATTTTCCATTTGTATAATTTTTCCTGATACATATACATGTTCTTATGTTGTGCATAAAGTTTGAGCTGATTCCAGTCAAGTTTGGATTTTTCATGAAGTTTTAAAGTTGCTCAAAAACCGAGCCAAAGTCCCTGTGCTATAGTACAGGGACTTTGGCCAAATTTCATCAAAAATGAAAAGTAAAAAAAATTGCTATTTTTATAATTTTTTCTGATGCACATACATGTTCTTATGTTGCGTACAAAGTTTAAACTCATTCCGATCAAAATTAAATTTTTAATGAATTTTTAAAGTGCTCAAAATCAGGCAAAATTCCCTGTACTATAGTACAGGGATTACAACACTGCTTCCTTCATACTGCCACTAAAGGTTATTAATAATTCTACTTTGTGTATAAGGAATAACAACCTAAGTGTGAGGAAATGGAACTGGAAGTGAGCCCTGATCTCAATATGAGATCAATAAAGCTTATTCAATGTCATGGCAACAACCAATGACTATTATTTTATTCTCTCGGGAAAAATATGAACAAAATTTACTAGGGTTAACAGGTAAAATTTTACTTCAAATACATGTAGTACTGCATGTACATGTAAATTTTAGCATTTTAGGTTTATTGGGGGTTTGGCTCTACTAAGTTTAACATTCATCTTTTAGCTAAGTTTTAAATTTTAACGGCACTTTTAGCACTTTAATCTACACATGACAAAAAAAGGAAAATTTCATTTTCTGCTATATCGATATGTTTTGTTGATTTTACTAGTCAAAATAAACTATAAAAAGGCAACCATTTCTACGACCCCCTGCCCCCATTATTGAAACTCACCGAGTCTCTTTGTCATATTCTCTGGAGTGTTCTGAGTCATACCCAGAGCCACCATACAAACCACTGATCCAATGACAGCCACTATCAATCCCTATTAGCAGACAATGGTATACCTTGACTATCAATAGACTATCAGTTCCTTACTTTAAAGAGAGACAGTAGATAAAGTGTAGCTCCGGCCCCAGCACAAAGCATAGCTAGAGCGAGGCATGTGTAAACGCTCTTGAGATGGCTTTGAGTTCCTTTACTCCTAAAAAAGGAAAAGGTCGAAGCTTTGGGGTAGATTGTCATCTTGCTTACAGGTTGGAGAAGTCAGTCAGGGCTGACATGGATATTTTACTTCGAGAGAAAAGAGAGTCCATTATCGTGAATGGTCTGTCTTGTCAAAAGTTGACAACACCTTCAAGATGGCGGATATTTCTAGTCTTTGCAGTATTCGTGTCGATAAATGCAGAGTACACGTCAGATAGCAAGTGACGTAATATTGAGGTAAGAGGAAATCTATTATTAGCAACACTTGACAAAAATAGTAACATTAAAACAAAGTAAAAATAATAGCCAACAAAACTAGTCCAAAAATAATAGTAAATCAAAATAAAGTATACTACTGCCAGTACTCACTAAATACTTTCGTTTAGTTCTTTTATAATGTCAGACATTGTTGGACGCTGTTTGTAGTTCTCTATCAGACAACGTTCAATGAGGTTCTTCAATGTTGGCCTCTTGATAGCTTTAATCTGAGCCTCTCTCAGACTCTTCTCTTCCTCTGGGAACTCACAAAGAGCCATCTCAATAAGGAGGACACCATAACTGAAGACATCCATTGAAGGAGAGTGCTGCCTTGGGTAGGGAGACTCTGGAGCTGAATAGACAGGATTACCAGGATTGCATGTTCTAGCAAGAGGTTGGAGACTAACTGTACCGTAATCAGATACTTTAGCCCTCCATCCTCCAAGTCCACCTCCCATTGGTTGAAGGAGTACATTAGCACTGCTGACATCTCTATGTAGTATAGGATGAGGCTTGAAGAGATGAAGGTAATTGAGAGCACAGGCTACATCTAAACTGATGCGTAATAGTTCAGGATAGGCCAGTCCTCCAGTCTCTAATTCCTTTCTTAGGCTCGTCGGCATTAGTTCTGTCAGGATGATTGGAT